GGGACAGGCAAGGAAAAACCTTTTGTCAACTTAAAATGGATTGAAGACCCAGAACATGATAAAAGTTAATGTGAATGAGAATGCAATGGGGCTGCCATTATATTGAAAAGAAAAGCACAGAACTGAAAATGTGATCCCGATGAATGAATAGACAAATAAATTGTGAGTACAGGGTGATTTGGATATGGAGAAAAGCATCCTAAACATACACCTTTGTCTTCCACATACTGGGCCAAAATGACCAATGGAGAGAGAAATTTACAATCTGATATTGCGTGATGAACCACAGAAAGAAGCAATGTCAATAATTAGATGACATTCCCTGATCTTCAGCAGGAAAACAAAGATGGGAGAGAAAATCCAGAGAGGGGTTATGAACCATCAAGATGGATTAATGCTCCCTTAATTCTAACATCATTCCTTCAAGATGTTGAAGGTATGCAGGATCAGATGGGAGTTGAAAGGATACCAGTTATGACCAAGGAGATGAAGGGAGAAAAAGAACAGGTGATCACCAGTTATTAGCTTGTGAGTAAGACGTTGGACAGAACTGGTACGAGAAGTGGATGATGAATGGTTTACTGGACATAGTACCGGGAGCAGGAGAAATGCCAGAACAAAAAACAGAATTGATGGGTCAAAGTTGGTACAATCTGAAAATTCAAAGGTGTGAGGGAAGAATGATGGAGAGCAGCAGGAACCCATGATACCGGGGAGTCAGGTACATCACTAAGTTTCCAAAAGATGAAGAGAAGGGGCAAAATCAAGGTCCTACAAAATTGTGGAAAGGAGACAAATTTGGGATAAGAGGGTACTCTTCTCCAAAGGTTCCAACAACAAAAACCAGAGAAGAATAGAAATGGTAGAGGAGGTAGAAAGGGCCATGGAAGCAGAAGAAAAAAAAAAGGAGAGATCGAAATTCCTGAAAAAGGAAGCGAGTGAAACAGAGAAGGACTACCAACTTAAGGTAAAGGGAAGAGAGATACCAAGGTAAAAGGTAGTAATAAATTCACGAAGATGGGCAAAGTTAGCTTTAGAGAGAAAAAGTAGCAAATAATGAATCAGAACCCCTCAAACTGGGAAGGTGACTCTGATGACTGGGAATGGGAATGACTAAAGAGGAGAATAAAGGAGATAGGCAGGGATTACAAGGTATAAAACCACAAGAGAGAAGACGAGCCCCAAAAGAAGTGATATAACAATTAAGGGATGAAATATAAAAAAAACAATTGTACAAATCTGATAAATAAGGTGAAGAAAGTCAGTGGAATTCTGAGAGTGTCATTTATGAAATACAGAAGCTCACAATGCAAACGTGGAGGTGAGAATTGGTGCTCAAATTCATCTACATCAGTTTCAGGAGCAAAACTATGGAAAGGAAGTGAGTGGAAGAGTCAGGAAAAGAAGGTCCCAACTGCATAATGGACCCCACCACATGATAGAAGATGGTTGTCACGTCTTCCATGAGAAAATAACTTCTAGTAAAAATGGCACTGACTTGTTTTGTGTAACAAGATTTTTCACTCACATCAGCTTTAGAAATATGCACATTAAAATGTGAATTCATGTTGACTTTAATAAAGTCAATGAAGTAAAATTTTAAAAATTAAAAAAATACACAAATCTCAAACTGAAACATGTCAGTGCATGACTGTGCTGAGGAAAAGAATAAGGATTCATGATCATGAATGTAGAGGGGGTCAATACAAATAGAGATGTGTCACACTCTTATTGGTGGATGATTCTGTTGCATTATGACATCATCATGCAGTGTTGCCAATTCACATGAAATTTAGGTGAGAGTTTTCACAAAGCTGATGGCTTGCAAGTCTCTTTGGCAAAATATGCAAACTCAAGAGGGAAGAGGCTCTCTGTCTGAGAGGCGAGTATTCATTTCAGAATAAAAAGTATTTACTGTAGAAGAATAAAGGAGAAGATAAGTGATAGAAGGAGATTTGGCCCACAGATATCATCCTTCCATCCACACAAAACAACCAAATTAAATGAAGCTTTTAACATCCACACACTTAACAAAGGTTAACCCTAGTATATTTGATCACCTGAATCAAGTCACATCTAATCCTTCTATAATCCACAAAGAATAAATACAAATTTTAAGTTTATTATGTTAAAATAATTCATATAGTAAGGAATCCAAAGCTGGACACAGTACCCAAAATAAGATCTCAGTCTATAAAATGTAGCAATAATCTTTTTTGCTCTTAAATTAAAAAGTAATTTTTTTTTAAAAATCATTAATTTTTCTATTGCTATTTTTTCATATTTGCTGAAATACACAAACAGATATATAAAACTCAGGAGCAATACTTCTTTCAAGACTGATTTATCAAACATCAAAACATTCAAAAGTCGTTTACTCACTGTAGTGATACAGAGTAGTGGCATGTGCTATCTTCTGCAAGTAACACAGCTTCAAGTTCTTGGAAATGATTTTCTTTTATGTAAGCCTTGACAGTTCCTAATTACATTAAACAAAACCTATAAACACATCTCATCAGTAAATAAGTATGACTATTAACAAGACAAACTTTACAGAGCAAAACAATTTCATGTGGATGAGCTACAGGTATATGAAACTATAAATCATATTAAACCTTTTTATTGGCAACATCCTATAAATCAATCATTTTATTGGAAAAATAAAACCTGCCTTTTCAAAATATTAAGCTTGTGTCCTCTCATCCTATTATCTTTAATATACAGCACAAAGAAATCAGAGGCTTTTATCATATTAGCACCCTAAATAATCTAACTTTAATAAGTTCACTTCTTACCCTACCTTTCTCTGTACATAACAATATAATCTAATTCTTGAGTTTATCCTAACTTTTTTAAATGAAGCAATATAAATTAAAACTGTATTTATTCAGCTGAAATGTATCATTATACTTCAGAGACAACAAGGGGCCTCTTGGATCCATTCTGATTGTCCCATTCACTTCATCAACTATGACTATATCCAATTCTGACTTTTTAAGTATTCATCAAGCTGCCTCTAGAACTCTCTCTCTCTATCCTGTTGTGTCGACCATATCTGAAGGCAAGCTATTATAAAGGCTGAACACCCTAATTACATAATTTGCAAACAAAATCTAACCTGCCAATTTTTAAATCTATGTCCCCTAGTCCTACCACTCTTACATTTAAACATGAAAAGAGATCATGCATCAATCCAATGTATTCCCTTTATAATTTTGAACACTTCAATCAGATCTTCTCTAACCCTTTTTTTCTCATGAGAAAACAACTACAAGAACCTTAACCTGTCCTTGTATGACAGACCCTCAATCCCAGAAATCATTATAATAGCCCTCCTTTGGATCCTTTCCAACAACTTCATATCCTTTTTAATGTAAGGAGCCCAAGATTGAACACAATACTTCACAAGGTTTAATCAGAGATCTGTACAAAGAAAATATATCTTACTTTGACTTATATTTAACATTGTTGTAGATACAACCCAAAATCTTATTTGCTTTCCCACTGGCAATAACATACTGTCAGAAGGCATTATAAAACTGATCAACCAAAAAAAAACCACAATCTTTTCTTCCATAACACTATTTATTCTCATCAAATTGGTAATTATAGTTTAAATTAAGGTAACTCACATCCATTACCTTGCACTTAGCTTAATTAAAATACTGTTGCATCAGCGAGGTCACGTGACTAGTATCACGCCACGTCCTTCTCGACCTTTCATGAATTATCGGGAGACTACTAGATTGGGGGTAGTCTGGTATATATAAGACGTTCACAATGTGACGGGACAACAGTGTAATGAGTAATTGAATGTATGCGGATAAAATATTGTTGGCCACATGAGATGTGAGTTATAGCGTTTGTTATAGAGCGACTGTTGAAATTAAGTGTATCGTAAAGTTGTATTCGGAAAGAATAAACCAGTTTTATTTAAGAAAGGACTTGTGTCGCTAAAGTTTTGTCGGAACGAATTTACGGAAAATTAACTAATGAACAGAGACGTAACAATACTATCTGTTATTTATAAGCACAATTTGCCAAATAACCCATGTTCCTGTGTAAACCAGCAGCAACCTCATCAGAGTCAACTACACCCAAAAGTTTAATATCCGAGACTAAAAGGTTATTATTTGATGACAGGTTAAGAACTCTGAAATTAAAGGGGATATGACAGAAGCATTTAAGATTAAGGTAACTGATAGTTTTGATGCATCATCATTTTTTGTCATAATTAATAGAAAAACAAGGGGACATGCATAAATTTTGGTAAGATAGGAGTAATATTCAACTAATTCTATTTTCTAACAGGGTATGAGTTGCCTTCAGATGTGGTGGATGCAGTACATCTCCAAAAAGAGTTTTATACTCATTACTTTTGTTTTTATTAATGTACATTGTACTTTAACAGTAGAAATAATAATAAGTAAGCCTCTTCTTGAGATTGGCACCATGGTTTGTTCCAATTCTGCAATCTTCTACACACTTTGTTTTTTTGCATTTATTATTTGATCCTGGTCTTCACCTCTGTCAAAACCTAGTTTAAAGTTGTCCTTACATTCGAGTTGAAAAATCTTGCAAACCGTTCCACTCCTTAAGTATAACCCATCTATTCCAAAATGCTTCCCATTTCCAGAAATTGATGAAACAAATCCATCCAACTCACTTGTTCATTTATACACAATGGCTTAAGCTTCACAAAAAGCCCAAGAGACCTGCTTAGAATCTTACACAAATACAAAATAATTAGTTTTTACAACATATCTGTCATTTCAAAAACTAGGTACACTATAATAAATAACAAGACATCTAGATTTTTAAGTTAACACAGAAAGTTGTAACAATTGACTTTCATAAATCAATCTTTGACACATTCTTACTAAGTTGTTAAAAACACATTTAAAATAAATTTATCTTCTTTAAATACCACCCCTGTTTCAACTAACCTATATGCAACCTACAAAAAACATGCAAATACCATTCAAAAGTAAAGCTAAGATATTTACAGGGAGATAATTAGTAAAGTTTGCTGATGAAATTAAAGTACTAATGGGTATTTTTAGCTGTACTGCGAATGCTGAAGCACATGGAATGACCTGAAGCAACTGGTAAGTACATGTTGTATTCAAATGTTTAATATTTCCAAGGGTGAGTGAGCAAGGACAGCCTTGAATGACCAAAGGATTCCTTCTTATCCATATGTCACATTAAGATTAAATGTGTACATATAGTAGCAGGCTCACACCCAACAATTGGCATATGCAACATAAGTTTCTTAAAACTGTTTACACTTATACATGCAAAACCTAGATTTTCTTATTGTAATTAAGTCAGAATATTTCATTATGTTGCAATCTGATATTCACGTATTCCAATCCTAAGCTTTTCCTTTTTCTGATTGTTTATTTTACTTTCTTAACAGCCACAGATTCATACAGTGGGTGATTAAATATTATCAATTCTTTGGCTGTACCTTTTCTCATTTCATCTATGCTATTCCATTTTCAACTACCATCCTACTAAAAACTATATAACTCCTTTTCCTACACCTAACCCTGATTTCTATAATATTCAGCCTTCTCCTCTTAAACTCCTTCAGTGGTGAGGTTTCTACTACCTTTGAAGGCAAACTATCCAATTAAAAAGTAACCTTGCCTTAAATGGATTATTTCAAAAGTTTCCATATTTATAATTTTACTGCATGCAGTACCTTTTAAGAAAATATCATTTGAATTTATAGATTCCAAGCCTCTAACAACCTCAATACTCTCCCTCCAAGCCCTTCTAACCACATAAAACAGGTAAAGATCTTTTAGTTTATTCCCATATAATAACTCCTCAATGCCTAGATCCATCCTCGGTAGTTCCTCTTGAACCCTCTAAAACAAAATGTCCTTAAATAAGGTAATTCAAATAAATACAATATTCCAAATGAGGTCTAACACTTTGTATGATAAACTGACGACCTCTTCAACTCCCTCTCAACATTTCTTTGTATACAATTTAAAATTCTGTTTACCATACTATTATCTAATGTAGATTACCTACAAAGCTTTTAAAGATTTTGTTATAGCTGTGCCTAGACTTTTTTCCACATCAACTTTAATTAGATTCTCCACCAAAGATATAAGAGTAATTAATGTTGTGATAACAAAAATGCATAACATAATTTTTATCAAGATTAAAAGACATTTTCCAAGAACACAAAATTAAATTAGAACACTTTTCTCTGTAAAACTACAGCACCTTCAGTACAATATGAATTATCCATTAATCTATATATATAAAACACACAAATCTGTGTCTGTCTGTTTGTCCATTATCTAACTACTCCTAGGTCGCTGGGCCAATCTACACCAAACTTTGCGAGATGATAGTTTGGAACAAGGGACATGTTAGTGGGAGATTCAAAACTACCTTTACTGCTGTTATTGGGCATTTATTATCTTTCACATAAGTTAACATTAACTACATTCATAGATGGCATCATGTCCTTATAACAAAGAAAAAACTTTCTGTGACACACCATACACACAGTGTAGAGGGGAGGGCATATAAACATCTTATATATCTCCGAGAATGTGCTAGCACTCACTATGGAAAAATGCAATGACAAAAAATGGCTGTCACTATTGCAGTAATCCATAAACTTAGATAAAGTTGCTTCTGCAACAGTCACCATAAGGCTCAAACATAATATCTGATACTTTTCACTACGATATAGGTCCAGCTTATCTTTCTTTGTTTAACTTTTGTTCAGGGTAACTGATGAGGAGTGGAATCCTCCAAAACCAGTATAACCCAATAACACATGTTGATCAAAGTGTAGATTGAACTGGACCTCTCTTTAACTTAGACCCCGAGATTAAACAATTTTTGGTAATACTAAGTATATTTATTTTACCATAAGGCTAATATGAAGAGCCATTTGAGTTATACCCACCTCCTACTTTGACCCTTGACCTTACAACTTCAGCCTATGAGACACTTCTATGGCCAATGGTCGAAAATTAATTAATAATGTGAAACAGTGAGGAAGAACACTAAAAAAGCTGACTGTTCAAGGCTAGTAACAGGAAGCACTCCTACTGCCATTACTTTGGCCAGTACCTCTTCCTACAAAGTCACTCTGACCATTGCATGGCATATATCATGTTTTCAGTATATACATAGCGAGTTCTTAAAGCTTATACAAAACTTTTGGTGAGGTAATAATGAATATTGTTATTGTTATAAATAAACTGTGTGAAAGTTAGGATTTTTGTGTTACTTATCATAACATCCCACCCCCACTCCCACTTTTTCTTAAGTTCATACCCCAGACAAAGGACGGATACCTCAGCTTGTTTTATATATTTTTCAAATTTAACCAAAAAACTTGTTCTTTAATGAAAATGAGAAAGAAGAAAGGGCTTGGCACAGAAACCACTGGTAATATTAATCCACTATTACTTCACCCCAGTTAACATCCTTATAACTATTATATCACTAAACAAGCTTTCTCATACTGCAACCTAGTACAATCTTCCTAAGGAGCCTCTTATCTGTAACCTTACTAAAAGTCTTGTAGTTGTAAAAGCTAAAGTAAACCAAATCCTCTATATTATCCTTATCAATATTAAATTTAATATTTTAAAAACAATTAGCACAGTTCCTAATATCATAACCCTTTATAAATCCATACTGACTATCTGTGATATATGAAACTTGTCTAAATGTCCATGTACTATTGTTGAATCTCTTTAATTATAGAATTTGTTAATTATTTTGACTTGCCTTTGACATTCAATAATCTAAAACCATTTGACACATGAAGATGTAGTATTAATAATTAAGATGTTCTTCTCTTTTCTCTAAATTACATTAATAAAGTAAAATTCTCATGTTTCTGGCTTGAATTTGAAATAAAAATATCATTTTGACTTTTAACATAAATTTTTACTTTACATAGCCTATAACTATAAGGTATTCTTTTACAATCTTAATTTATTTACTAATTTTCTTAGAATGCTTTTGTTTGCATGATTAGTATTACAAGATTTTTAGTAAAATTAAATACAAGTTCAAGAGTGTTTCGACTGAGTTTCTAGGAAACAAAAGTATTACCAAGTATTATGTCATCGGCTGTAGAATTCCCATCGTCCAGCATATCCATTAACTGATTAAGTCTCTAATGGCTCTACTAGTACTACAACTATTACTACGATACGACATTGACTTTTAAATCAGTTAAAGCATGACTATTAGTATCTCTTTCACTCTTGCCAGTCTTGGGGTTTAGATTTGCACGTACTGAAACTGAAAGTTTCAACTTTTACTACTATCACTTGATAAGTGAATTGCAAAGTGTGAAAAAGATGCACTTGTGCCGCTGTGTTTAGTCTAACCAGAGGATCAATGAATGAAATTAACAAGGATTTAGCAAGGTTACATTATATTAATCATGCATGATAATGCCAAACTAAATAGCTTAGTACAAATACTACTAAATAATCGTACCACTTATATTAGTACTAGTAGTAGGCTTGGTTTAGTTTAAATTTTAATTTAGTGTTTAACGTTAATGAAATTGAATTTCGATTCTAACGGCACGTACTCCTGTCTCGTGCCCTAAAAACAAAGTTTCTGTTCAAGGTTTTAACAAAAAGAGGAGCATAATTAATTTACAGACTAACTGTGAAATATCACCAGTCGCCATCAATAGACCATTCACGCCTACACGCACTAATCCACACATAACATTACATGTCCAAATCTCCCGCTACGATAAGAATATAAATCATGCCGCTACGCTACCTATAAGAATGCTGAGGAAAAATATATATGTACCATTGGAAACTTGTAAAAATAAATCTAATAGTTCGATGTATTCTTATTTCAGTAATACTGGAATAAAAAGAAAGATTGAACAACTGTTGTTTTTGCAAAGTGGTTTATGTAACTGTCTGATGAAAGAATTATTCTTATAAAGCAAATAATTTAGTTAATTACGTATTTCCCCTCCCAAAAGTACAGGAAAATATAGAATAAACGTTTTGGGTAGTTATCTTACTTTTGTTTCTATATGTCAAACTAGAAATGATTGGTTTCAGAAAGTTTGAAAAAAGCTACCAAAAAAGGTATTTGTGCATAGTCGTCCTTAATTTTTATTTGAGAGAAGGTAGCAAATCATCGGCACTCATCTGAACATATAGTAGGATTTGACAATTATTCTTATAGCGGACCTCCTGCTCCAAAGTGTGCAGTGCAAGCTTTTAGCAACGGACCGATTCACAACCACAGCACACTAAATAATCACTAGACTATATTCAGCCATTGAATGAAGAAAATGTTTTAGCTTGGAAGCTTAACAAATACCAAAGTTGCGTTATAAAAAATATATGAATGGAGAAGTATCCTGGGACTATTAATGGCAGCTTATTTTATTGTAAACTCAGAAATAGCAGCCCCTAATCTTAAACCATATATCAAAAGAATGACAGGTGGTCAGGAGTACGTGCCAACCACAATAGCTTTGTTCAGCTTTTTTAAATGAATAATGTGACTAAAATTTATATAATGCAGATAAAGCTGAAAGTGCAAAGTATATTCATCAACACATGGTACTCGAAGCTGCCACATGTTTTCTATTCTCCTATCTATGAGAGAATTGTTTTCCAAAATTGCTGTATGTTTTATGTTGGTTTTAATATAAAGCATCTGTCAGGAGAACAAATAAGTTCCTGCTACTTTAATTATTCACGGTGTTCCAAGAGTCACCATTGATGTCAGATGTGTTCCCTTTTAAGGAGGATTACTGTACTATGAAAAATGCTAAAGGTAGCAACAGTTATAGTTTCTCATAGTAAACAAGTCGATGTTTTAAGGCCTTGACATCCCTTTACTTTTGTTCAGATGTTTGGCTGATTCCACCAATATTTTAACCTATGAAATGCCCAAGCTAAAATATATATAAAAATAAAACATTTAACACTACACCACTTGAATGAGATATGTAATGATTTACTGAAACGCTGCATGACAACTATAATTCACACATCACTTAAGCTATTGTTATGTCTCTGCTCCTTTGTTAATTTCCGGTATAAATTCTTTCCGAGGAACTTCAGCGATGCAACTCCTTTTTTAATTAAAACTAGTTTATTCTTTCTTGATACAACTTTGTAATTCACAGAATCTCAACAGTCATCTAAACTTAACGACCTTTATAACACATGCTATAAGTCACAGCTATTCACAATCTTTACTTACAATGCCTACTGTTCGCTTGACTCAATTATTTATCTCTCCGATCTATCTATCTATCTCGCAGGCTTTCTTTGCCAGACTTATATACTAAAAAAGATGGCGTCCAGCAAACACTCGGACATTCGCAGGGTTCCCAGATAATTCTAGAAATTCCAACGCGCATACTCACAGCGTCACGCGACTTCCACTGTCGTAACACTGCCCCTTCCTTAGGGAG